TTGACTGACTCCGACAAGCAGCCAGGCTGAACACTGCAGCTCCTGGCTCTTCTCCCACCCTCACTCGTCCAGCAGTTAAGACCACAGGATTAAAGGGTAGAATCCTTCCCCTGGTGCTAGAAGTCTCGCATCACGTCACCTTCATCTCTAGACTCCTGACTCCTGGCACACAGGAGAGGTGTCCCTCCAGCAAAGCAAGTGTTTCAGGGGATGAATTTTCCTTCATTGGAGGGTCACTTTCCCAACTTCTGGTGACCAGTTGCATCAGGAAGCCCCCTGCCCACTGAAGTTGCCCCATCTGCTGTGCGATCCTGGATCCCCACTCTCAGGGCCTGTCTTCCCCATGCCCTCTATCTACATGATGAGGATGGATTGGTAAAGCTGCCTGCTCAGTCATTTCAAACTCCTGGATAATTCCCTGGGATGAGCCGGAGATGCTGAGATGAGTCAGGGCTGTCAGCTGGCCAGGAATGTGGCCCCCCACCGGGCTGGTCTCAGGACACTGGGGGGCGGGGACAGATGCTCTGGACCCCACATGCTGTGATATGAGCAGCACTGAGGATCCTACTCTGCTGAAGGGAGAGTCTGGGCAAAGGTGGTAGCCTATGGAATGGTCCAGGCAGCTGCACCAGGTGATACAGAGCAGATACCTTGCGTCTTTGAGCTGACATTACCTTAGCGAGGGCAAGGTAATCCATAGTTGGACACAGCTTGTCTCGGAATAAACTAGGTCTCTCCTTCCTCAGGACTGCCTATGAGATATGATCCCAGACCCCCAGTCAAGCCTCTTTCTCATGTACATCCCTGGTCCCAGGTCCGACAACATTGAGGACAGTCTGGAGGGGGCAAGGGATGAGGACCAATGGTCAGTGTGGCTGCAGCTGCCAGAGGAACCCAGGCAGGATGTAAGTCTAGACTCGAGGCTCCAGCTGTGCATCAGGACTGGGAGGGCAGGGACCACAGCCTCCTCCCTGTGGTTCTGCCCCGGCTCCCCCTTCTAACTCCAGTCACCCTGAGCAGCCATCTGTCTGGCACCGAGCAGAGGCTCTCTGTCACTGGCAGACACCTGGCCACAAGGCCACCAGCACATGTGACAGTCCTGCCCACCCCACCAACAATGGAGGCTGCCCATTCAGCCGACCTCCAGTCCGGGCTCCACTCCTGCCTGGCTCTTTTGAGCCTCAGGTTCCTCATTGGTAAAATAGCCATCAATGACCCGTCCTAACTCCTAGGGCTACTGTATGAATCTCTTCAGATGCTCTGTGTGAAGAGTATGCCTGAGGAAGATGAGAATTAACTAAGCACTTCCCTATGTCACCTCTTTCAATCCTAATAGCAACAGCCCTAAAAGGTAGGTATTATTATCACTCCATTTTACAACTGACTATGATTCAGAGAGGTTAAGTCACCTGCCTAAGGTCACACAGCTGGTAAGCAGCAGGGCCCCAGGTCAGCATGACTCTAGATTTGTGCTTTCACCTGCCTTTCACACCTTCCATGCTGTGCTCACAGCTTTGGTCAAGCTCTTCACAAAAGTCAGGAATTGTCATGATTATTTCATAAAACCTAAGGTTATGAGAGATTCTCCTCGTTCACTTCTGCCTGTCTTTTTCTCAACGTGGAAAAAAGCAAACTCATAGTCTGCTAATTTCTGCAGTCTCAGACAATCAGAATTCCAACCGTCTGGGAGAGCCAATCTAAGAAAGCAAGAAATTAATCTTTTCAAAGTTAACGTCTTGGAGGCGTCGCGTCAGTATTTGGGTTGGACGTAACCTTGCTATCGTAACACAGATGAAACCCCAAATTTAATAAGGCTAAGACAACTCTGACAACGTAAGAAACATAACAGGATATTGCAAAGAGATTAGGGAGCTTCCTCTGGACGGCGCGGATGGGCCGCGGAGAGGGCAGGGTGGGGGGCGGGTGGTGCGCCCAGGGAAGGAGGGTGCACGGCGGCGAGGCGAGTCCCCGGTCTCTGGCTGGGCCTGAGGATGAACGGCCTGGGCAGAGGGGAGCTAGGCTCCTCCAGGCACCTCCAGGCCTGCCTGGTGCGGGAGCAGAGGCTCTGCAGGCTAAATGTGAACCAGCTGCAAGGACGAGGACGGGAGTGTTACAGTTGGACAGGGCGGGGAAGGCTTACCTCATGAAAGAACTGTGGAAACGGCTGCTGGAAAGATAATAAAAGGATTAACTGCTATTTTAGTGGGCCATTTACTCTTCAATCAAAGTGTCTCATCTATTTCCTGTTCTCTGGAGGCTCCGGGTCCAAAATTCCTTTGTCTATTACAGCACATGGTAGCAGAGGCCTGTCATGGGAAATTAATAATTTTACAGGGAAGGGAGATTTTATTGATCTGGGTGCGGGCTAGAGCCCACCCCTTCCCCTGGGTTACCTACTGCACCGGTCTCTCTGGAAGAGGCAGCACGCCCACAGCACGCAGGGTAGAGCTGAGAGATTCTGCTACCATCTTCAGAGGATGGCACCCGGCAGGGCCAGCCCTGGCCCTGGACCCAGGACCCCAGAGAACAATCAGTTTAACAGGGGAAGATGCACACAAACAGGAGCATCACAGTTCAGAAAGATGAGAATTCAACTTCCACTCCCATGGTTACTAGCTGTGTAACCTTGAAAGTGAACTGAAAGTCACTGGGTGGTGTCCAGCTCTTTGTGACTCCATAGACTGCAGTCCATGGGATTCTCCAGGCCAGAATACTGGAGTGGGTAGTCTTTCCCTTCTCCAGGGGATCTTCCCAACCCAGAGATCAAACCCAGGTCTCCCTCATTGCCAAGTAGATTCTTTACCGGCTGAGCCACAAGGGGCAAGTTATTTTCATCATTTTTATTGGTATTACTAGCAAGATTATTAGCCTCTATTATTGTTGTCATTATGGTTTGTCTCTAACTGTGGGACCTGGGGCAAATTATACAATCTCTTTGAGCCTCAGTTTCCTCATCTTTAAAATGGGGATAAATAGTACCTGCTCCATAGGGTTGTTGTGAAGACCATAGGGAGCATGAGGACCACAGGCTTAGAAGAACTCCTGCACACAGTCAGCACTCAGGAGCTGGGCTTGCTGGTCTTAACTACCATAATCCTAAACCCCCTAAGAGGTTATACGAAGTGTTCTCACAGCAGCAGGTGGAAGGCCAGCTAGGCCCTATGGAACTTCCACTTCTTCATCTGCAAAAGTCCTTGGCAACCCCAGGTAAATATAGACATAGCTTGAACATCACCTGCTCCATGAAGCCTGTTTAGGTTTCTCCTCCCTGGGTGGATGCAGACTCCATCTCAGAGCCTGTCACTCACCTCCCTCCCATCAACTCCCATCTACTCTCCCTCCCACTACTCTACAAGAAAAGTGTCATGCCAGGATTCAAGTCCGGCGGCCAAGGGCCTTTCAGGTACCAGTGAGGTCACCCCCAGAGAGAAGATGTGAAAGAGAACTGCAGCTCAGTGGCTGTCAACTGCAGGATCTCGGAGAGAGACGGGGACCGTGTGTGGTCCAGGACCCCTGCCTTGTGATGTTCTCTGGACAACTTCTTCCGGAAAGGGGCATGCCCTCTTAGAAGTCATGTGTCACAACACCCCAAATGAACAGGGGCATCACCAGGAATCAGCCTGGCCACCAGCTCTCCCTGCAGCACACTCTCAGCCCAAAGACACACAATACAGTCCACTTCTCAGCCTGCTCATTCCAGCCCCTCCCCATGATCCCAGCATGCCAACCACCCTACTTTCACTTTTTGGCAGAGGCTGTCCCCTGCCCCTCACCTGTCTACAGAGTGAATTCCTTCTCATCCTCAAGATATAACCTCTTTGAAGTTGCATAAGCTGGTCCAGTGGGTGTTCAAGTCACAAGCAGACGGGCCCCAGGGGCGAACAGCTGGTCTCAGGAGGATGGAGTTTATGCTGCTGGTTGTCAATGCTCTTCGCCCCCTCCCTGGCCCTGCAAATGCTGCCCGGCGCTTTGAGCAAGAACAGAGAGAGGTCCACCTCTCCCCTAGTTGCACCTCTTCCCAGACTGAGTTCTCCATGAGGCAGGAGAGGGCCCGGAGACAGTGAGTGCATACAAGTGTTGGAAGAACTCAACTTTGGCTATGACGCTGGCCCTATAGATGAGGCACACTGCTTCCTTCCTCTGCCTCTTCCAAGCCCCAATAGTTGGGAAAACAGAGCTGGGACTTGGTACCTCCATTGGCCCTTCCACTCCCAGGCAGGCACCTGTCCTGGTGAGCCGGCGCGGCCTTGGGGGTGGCTTGACTAAAGATATCAGAGACTAAGATGACATTCCTAACCTGATACAGATTTCCACCACAGTGAGAGCAGCATGTGAAGATGACCAGTCAGAAGGGCTGGAGGCCTCAGTGCCTACAGTGTGTTACAGAGTGTGTGTGTGTGTGTGTGTGTGTGTGTGTCTGCAAGCCGAGGCATGTCCCTAGAAACCTTAGTCTCCACCTCAGCCAGAACACCGCAGGTGCTATCCAGGGCCTTACCTGCTAACCGGAGGTCTCACCCCAAAGCCTGCCCTGGGCACCCACAGCTCTCAAGCCTGATGCCTATGAGGACCCGGTGCGCTGTAGACAAAATCAAGCCTGTGACTCCGAGTGAAGAGCCAGAGCCGGGGCAAGCATATTCCCCATGACTCACCTGGCCATCAGCAGGTGGGACACTGAGCATTTGTGTGTAAGATAGAAGGCTGGCTGAGCTGCTTTGACCCCAGATCACATGTGTCGCCACCTGAACAGGTGCGCGTTGACACCAGACCATAGAGGGTGGAGAAGAGGGTCCCTGTGAGTCCGAGGAGCCCTCTGCCAAGGTCCCCAGTGAATGGGGCACTGACCACTGTGACCAGTGGCCACATCTACAGGATTGGTCCTTCCCTCTTCAAGCAAGGTGACCCCGGCCAGGCCCCAGGGGAGGCGCCCAGGCAGAGCTCTCCCAGGGCAGTGAGCTGGGTGCAGCACTGTGGGGGCAAACCTGGAGGCCGTGGCAACTCACCATGCACTTGTTGGGCTTCTCACCCGAGTGCACCCTCATGTGGATGAGCAGCTTGTAGCGGGCGTTGAAGGGCTTGTAGCGACGCACGCAGCCTGCCCAGAAGCAGGTGAAGTCCTCGCCCTTGCGCTGGTCGATGTGGCTCTTCTCGATGTGCCGCACCAGCTCCTCCTGCTGCTCGTAGGCTGCGCAGCAGTCCACCCAACGGCACGCCTGCCGCCCAGCCAGCCCCCGGCCCGCCAGGCCCAGCCCCAGGCCTCCAAGGCCCGGGCCAGGAGGCAGCTGAGACAGGGGGTAGGGGGGCGGCAGGCCCTGCTGGTGAGGCCCGAAGAGCTCTGAGAACTCGTCCGCAGGCTCCTGCTTCAGGAAGCCGGCCTTCCGGCAGGCTTCAAGCCGCAAACTGCCCTCGTTGCTCTCGGTGGACGCAGAGCTGGGCCGGGCCCGCTTGGGAGGGCCCCCCGTGTCTCCCGGCAGAGGGGGGCTCCGGAGTCCGTTGACACAGGTAACCAGGGCTGTCTGGGAGGAGCGGATGATGGAGGTGATGTCGGAGGCAGCGCAGGGCGAGACGGAGACCGAGGAGGTGGGGGGCAGCCCCAAGAGGCAGCAGCGCTTCAGGCCCCCCTCGGGGAGGTGGGCCTCAGGCGGGGGTCCCAGGCCCGAGCTGGGTTCGCTGCCCAGAAGGTAGCAGGAAGGTGCGGGGTTGGCAAGGCCTCGGCCCGGGAGGTCCAGGTCTGTGTGCAGGCCTGTGGCCGATGGGGCGCGGCAGTGGGCGGATGGGGGTGCGCGAGCTTCCGTCATGGCCCGGTAGTCAGGCAGGGATTCCTGCTTGATGTGCTGTGTGGCTGGGAGGCCACCATTCACATAGGTGGCCTGGGGCCTGGGGGACCTGGAAGACAGTGCAGAGGGGTCATGAGAGGGTGGGCACTCCACAGTGGGGGGGCCGGGCAGGGGACAGCGGGGAGCCTGAGGACGGAGGGAGGCGGAGAAGCCCAGAGCAGGGGAGGAAGGCTGACAGCTGGCAGCAGAGAGATGAGGACTGGTGGTCCAGTGAGCAGGAAAGAGTATGGAGCAAGAAGGGGAGAGAGAAGAGGAGGGGGCTGGGGAGATGTTCAGGAGAGGCAGGAGGTCTGAAAACATGGATGTGTGGAGGAAGATGCCAGTAAGGCGTGCATTTTATCCTTTTATTATATCCAGACTACCCTCTCCAGACCGAGCGCCATCTGTCCTGCCTCTGAGGCCTCCCTGGGTCTGCCCTGTCCCCCTGCCCATGACCTTTTAGTGAGTTCTGGAGGAAGAAGGCCGAGAATGGTTGGCTGAGGGACACCAGGTCCAATCGGTTTTAAATGCTGCTTACTTGTCCCTTAAATCTCTCTTAATTCTTGTAAGCATTCTTAATTTCTAAAAATGTGATGCTCCAAGCAATCTGCTTTTCCACTGTGAACATCAGTGGGTAGGGGTTTGAATCACAGTCACAGTGAGGGGGTCATCCCAGGAAAAACAGAAGAAAGCTTTCTTTGGGGGGAATGTTCCAGAATGTCAAGCCAGTGAGTGCACGAAATGCCACTCTGGGGAGAAGCCGTGGGAAGGCAGGCCAAGTGGGACAGTGGGAAATCTAGGTTAACTTCTCTTAACCCTCAGGTCTCTCTCTTTTTTAAAAAAAAAAAATTATTTATTGATTTATTTGGCCACGTTGAGTCTTTTTTTTTTTAAGCATGCACACACACGATCTTTTTTTTTTCTTTTAGCTCATTTAGTTTCTTTTTTTTTTCATTTATTTTTATTAGTTGAAGGCTAATTACTTCACAACATTGCAGTGGGTTTTGTCATACTGCATTGAATCTTAATAGCAGCATGCAGGATCTTCTATCTTCATGGCAGCATGGCAGGATCTAATTTCCTGACCAGGGATCGAACCTGGGTCTCCTGCATTTTAGGAGCATGGAGTGTTAGCCACAGGACCACTAGGGAACTCCCAATCCTCAGGTCTCAGGTTGAGACCTGGGGCCAGGCTCAGCCACACCTCGCTGTGCAGACCTTGGCAAGATGCTCTGGGCCTCTCCCTGCACCCCGACATTGAATGGCTCTCCTGGGGATGAGGATGATGATGGGCAGGGCCCAGCTGGTCAAGATGCTGTCATCATCACACAGTACACGCCTTCCTAGAGAGGGCCTCTCCCAAATGCAGGACAAGTTTGTGCAGAGAGAGATGTCAGGGCCTGCCGGCCATCAGAGGATTCTGAGAAGGGGAGACACCAGCAAAGTGACACTGGACTCAGGACCAGAGAAGCCCCAGCAGCTGGCTGGGCAGAATAAGGGGCCTCCTGACGTGTCCAAAGCCTGACCCCACACGCCCTTTACCTTTCCCCAGCCAAGCCTCAGTTTCCTCACCCGTGAAAGGGTGCTGCCAGGATCAAGGGAGGAAGCAGGTGCTGTGACAGCCCTCTGGGAACAGGACGGCAGGGTGAAGGGGGCCACCAGCATGGCCATTATTACCGCCATCGTCCTGGGGCTCTTTGGAGCCAGGGGTGGTGGGGTCATCACCTGTCCATCTGCTGCCCAACATGGCTCGGCAGCCCCATCCTCTCCCTCCCGGGGTCCCTGAAGCTCTGGCATCCTCAGCTCCAGCCTTGAGGTGGTGGAGCGGAGACAGGACAGGAGAGAAGGAAAGTCAGAGCCTGGAGCCCTCAGACACCACTGGCTCCAACACCATTGCTACCAAGAGGGCCGGGGACTCACAGCAGCCACAAGCAGCAAACCAGTGACAGGGCTGGGACCAGAGCCTAGGCTCCCCTTCCCTCCCAGTGTGCAGACTTCCCATGTGCAGAACCTAACCTGGAGTGCTCCCTGGATGGGAGGCTGGGGAAAGGGCTCTTCTGTTTGGTTCTCAATTACACTTGAACAAGTCTCTGCCTCACTCACCAGAGGCCTCTCTTCCTTCTCAGGAACTCTGCTGTCCAGAGCATGGTCACCAGGTGGAATCAGAGGGAGCAAACACATACCCCCAATCTCTAGGGCTGGGGACTCTGGGCCCACCAATGCCAGCAGAAAGCTCTGAGTAGCTTAAAGATCGGATCTGAAGTTGTGACTTTGTGGAGCTTAAAAAAAATAGTGCTCTTGGCGTGGTCATGATCCTGGGTCTGGTGAAGGTAGGCATGGGTGGGGAAGGGCAGCCAGATGAGCATCTGTTTGGAGCAATTGCTTTAAAAACAGACCGTTTATAAAATCAATGCCAGTAGGAATTTGCTGTGTGATGCAGGGAGCCCAACCTGGTGCTCTGTGACAGCCTCGAGGGATGGGATGGGGTGGGAGGTGGAAGAGAGGTTCAAGAGGGAGTGGACATAGGTATGCCTAAGACTGATTCATGTTGGTGTACGGCAGAAACCAACACAGCATTGTAAAACAACTATCCTCCAATTAAAAATAAATAAAGTAAAAAATAATAAAGCCAGGGTAAAGCAACCAACACAAGAAGAGAAGAGCTGTGTTGTTCTGTGACTGAGTTACCTGAATTTGTGGTTTAGTTGCTAAGTCATGCCTGAATCTTTTGAGAGCCCATGGGCTATGGCCCACCAGGCTCCTCTGTCCACGGGATTCTCCAGGCAAGAACAGTGGAGTGAGTTGCCATGCCCTCCTCCAGGGGATCGTCCCAACGCAGGGATCAAACCCACATCTCCTGCACGGCACGTGGATTCTTGACCACTGAGCCACTAGGGAAGCTAGCTACCTGAATAAGCAACAGCAAAACCTTGACTGGCATCAGGCAGGGAAGGGTCAGCTCAGGCCCCAGGGTCTCCTGGCTCTGAATGCCAGCTAAGGCAGCCCCTCTCCTCACCCTTGCTGTGCCTGTGAGGCCAGGCAGCCATTCTGGCCCTGCTCTGCTGCTGAGTCCTGTCACCCCAGGCAATTCCCATCGCAATCTCTAGAAACTGAGCACAGGTCCCTAGAAAGAAGGAACAACTCCAGCCACTTTCCCAGGGGCCGTCTCATGAACCCCAACAATACAACGATGCACGTATCTGCTGAAGGCATGGCCAAATTCTTCAAGGGAGACACTACCATCTATTTGACTTAGGAATGAAGCAATGTGGCCAGCCCTCAGAGGCAGGCAGTGAGAGCAGGAATTTGAACCTGATCTGTTTGAATTAGAGGGAGCAGCATAAATGGAGAGACCTCAAGACACAAGGCAATCCAGTGGGAGGGAGAAGGCACAGGATGCAACTAGGTGTGGGATGGGGCCTGGAGGCTCTTTTTCTTCAGGAAAATGAGGACGTTTGGAAGAGCCAGATCAGCAGCAGAAGCAGTCGCAATTCAGACTGATGCTGGTGTAGGGTCCTGGGTACAGGCTCTGTGGTGCTCTGACAAATGACATCCAAAATAACAAATGATGTTTCTGATCATCTCTACCAAAAAAAAAAAGGGAGGGAGGAATTCTACTTCCTAAGCTTTGACTAGGTTAGTATAGCTTCTTCCCTAAGATAGAAGGAATTTCACTGAGCAAACTAGATGCTGCCAGGGGAGCCTCAGTGAACAATGAAGCAGATGAATGCATTTGACTGTCGCTAAACAATGCACAGATCAAAGTCTAAAAGATGCTTGCTTACTCCTCATCAGGTACTTAAATGTGTCCCCTTAAAATTCATAGTTTGAAGACCTAACTCCCACTGTGGCTGGATTTGGAGGTAGGGCCTTTAGGGAGATAATTAAGGTTAAATGTGGAAATAGGGCAAGGCCCTGATCCAACGGGACTGGAGTCCTTGTAAGAAGACAAGACACCAGAGGTGTACACACCAAGAAAAGACCCCATGAGGACACAGGGAAGCAAGAAGGTGGCCATCTGCAAGCCAAGGAGAGAGCCCTCAGGAGAAACCAAACCTGCAGACACCTTGTTCTTGGACCTCCAGAACGGTGAGGAAATAAATGTCTATTCTCTAAGCCACCCAATCAGAAGGGTTTTGTTATGGCAGCCCAAGCAGACGAAACGTTGTTGTTCAGTTACTAAGTCACGTTCGTTCAACTCTTTGCAACCCCATGAACTACAGCACACCAGGCTTCGCTGTCCCTCACCATCCCCCAGAGTTTGCTCAAACACATGTCCATTGAGTCAGTGATGCCATCCAACCATTTCATCCCCTGTTGCCTGCTTCTCCTCTTGCCCTCAACCTTTGCCAGCATCAAGGTCTTTTCCAGTGAGTCAGCTCTTCTCATCAGGTGGGAAATACTGGAGCTTCAGCTTCAGCATCAGTTGTTCCAATGAATATTCAAGACTGATTTCCTTTAGAATTGACTGATTCGATCCCCCTGCAGTCCAACAGACTCTCATGAGTCTCCTCTAGCACACAGTTTGAAAGCATCAGTTCTTCAGCGCTCAGCCATCTTTATGGTCCAATTCTCACATCTGTACATAACTACTGGAAAAACCATAGCTTTGACAATATGGACCTTTGTGAGCAAAGTGATGCCTCTGCTTTTTAATACACTGACTAGGTTTATCCTAACTTTCCTTCCAAGGAGCAAGTATTTTTTAATTTCATGACTGCAGTCACTGTCTGCAATGATTTTGAAACCCAAGAAAATAAAATCTGTCACTGCTTCCACTTCCCCCATCTATTTGCCATGAAGTGATGGGACTTGATGCCATGACCTTAGTTTTATGAATGTTGAGCTTTAAACCAGCTTTTTCACTCTCTTTCACTTTCATCAAGAGGCTCTTTAGTTCCTCTTCACTTTCTGCCATTTGGGTAGTATCATCTGCTTATCTGAGGCTATTGATATTTCTCACAGTAATCTTGATTCCAGTTTGTGCTTCACCCAGCCCAGCATTTTGCATGATGTACCCTTCATAGAAGTTAAATAAGCAGGGTGACAATACACAGCCTTGATGTATTCCTTTCTCAACTTTGAACCAGCTGTTGTTCTATGTCCAATTCTAACTGTTGCTTCTTGACCTGTATACAGGTTTCTCAGGAGACAGGTAAGCCTGTCTGGTATTCCCATCTCTAAGAATTTTCCACAGTTTGTTGTGATCCACAAAGTTAAAGGCTTTCGTGCAGTCAATGAAACAGAAGTGGATGTTTTTCTGGAATTCCCTTGGTTTCTCTATGATCCAACAAATGTTGGCAATTTGATCTCTGGTTCCTGTGCCTTTTCTAAACCCAGATTGTACATCTGGAAGTTCTCAGTTCATGTACTGCTGAAGCCTAGCTTGAAAGATTTTGAACATTATCTTGCTAGCATATGAAATGAGTGCAATTGTGTGGTAGTTCGAACAGTCTTTAGCATTGCCTTTCTTTGGGGTTGGGATGAAAACCGACCTTTTCTTTATCCTGTGACCACTGCTGAGTTTTCCAAATTTGCTGGCATATTGACTGAAGCACTTTAACAGGATCATCTCTTAGGGTTTTAAATAACTCAACTGGAATCCCATCACCTCCACTAGCTTTGTTCATAGTAATGCTTCCTAAGGCCTACTTGACTTCACACTCCAGGATATCTGGCTATAGGTGAGTGACCACATCATCGTGGTTACCTGGGATATTAAGACCTTTTTTGTACAGTTTTTCTGCGTTTTCTCGCCACCTCTTCTTAACCTCTTCTACTTCTGCTGCATCCTTACTGTTTCTGTCCTTTTATTGTGCCCATCTTTGCATGAAATGTTTCCTTGGTATCTCCAATTTTCTTGAAGAGCTCTCTAGTCTTTCCCATTCTATTGTTTTCCTCTATTTCTTTGCATTGCTCAGTTAAGAGGCTTTCTTAACTATAAGGCTTTCCCTGTTATTCTCTGGACTCTGTATTTAGTTGAATATTGAATATATCTTTCTTTTTCTCCCTTACCTTTACTTCGCTTCTTTTCTCAGCTATTTGTAAAGCCTCTCAAACAACCACTTTGCCTTCTTGCTTTTCTTTTTCTTTAGGATGGTTCTGGCCACTGCCTCCTATACAATGTTATAAACCTCCGTCCATAGTTCTTCTGGCACCCTGTCTACCAGACTAATCCTTCAAATCTATTCATAACCTCCACTGTATAATCATAAGGGATATGATTTAGGTCATACCTGAATAGTACAGTGTTTTTCCCTACTTTCTTCTATTCAAGCCTGAATTTTGTGATAAGGAGGTATTGATCTGAGCCATAGTCAGTTCCAGGTCTTGTGTTTGCAGACTGTATGGAGCTTCTCCATCTTCAGGTGCAAAGAATATAATCAATCTAATTTCAGTATTCACCATTGGGTGATGTCCATGTGCAGAGCTGTCTCTTGTGTTGTTGGAAGAAAGTGTTTGCTATGACCAGTGTGTTCTCTTGACAAAACTCTGTTAGCCTTTGCCTGATTCGTTTTTTATTCCAAGGCCAAACTTGCCTGTTACCACAGGGAACTCTTGACTTCCTACTTTTGCATTCCAATACCCTATGATGAAAAGGTTATCTTTTTTTGCTGTCAGTTCTAGAAGGTCTTGTAGGTCTTTACAGGGTCAGTCATCTTTGGCTTTTTCGGCATTAGTTGTTGAGGCATGGACTTGTATTACTTGTATTACTTGATGTTGAATGGTTTGCCTTGGAAACAAAATGAGATCATTCTGTCATTTTTGAGATTGCATCCAAGTACTGCATTGTGGACCCTTTTGTTGTCTAGGAGAAGTACTCCATTTCTAAGGAATTCTTACCCACAGTAGTAGATGTAATGGTCATCTGAATTAAATTTGTCCATTGTCATCCATTTTAGTTTACTGATTCCTAAGATACCAATGTTCACTCTTGCCACCTCCTGCTTGGCTATGTTCAATTTACCCTGATTCATGGGTGTAACATTCCAAGTTCCGGGGCAGTACTGTTCTTTACAGCGTCAGACTTCACCTTCACTACTAGACACATCCACAGCTGAGCGCCATTTCCACTTTGCCCCAGCTGCTTCATTCTTTCTGGAGCTATTAGTAATTGCCCTCCACTCTTCCCCAGCAGCGTACTGGACAACTTCTGACCTGAGCTGGGTGGGGGTGGCTCATCTTCTGATGTCACATCTTTTGCCTTCTCATACCGTTCATGGGGTTCTGGCAGCAAGAATACTGGAGTGGTTTGCCATTCGCTGCTCCAGTGGATCACGCTGTGTCAGAACTCTTCACTATCACCCACCCATCGTGAGTGGCTCCGCAGGCATGGCTCAGAGCTTCACTGAGTTACACAAGCAGATCAACACACTGATGTAAATCAGAAGTCTTACTGATATCAAAGAAAGCCATGGAGAGTCTATAGTCTCAAAGAAAATGGTTCCATGTGGGAAGAATAAACCCCCTGCTAACGAGGACTCTCTCCCATCATGGAGCTCTCACTGAAAAGTAAACTCTGTTGGGGAGACCTTTACTTCCTTCACCAAGGCACCCCCACTCCCAGGATGAACCATGATGCCCGGCACAGAACTGGGGCTTGATAAATGATTGGTGAAGGAACCAACTATAAACGGGCAAGTGGGCCAGTTTTAGACTTTCTGCTCAGTGAGACAGGCCCCAGGAGAGCAGCCCCAGGCAGTGGATGAAGGCCCTGGGGCTGAGTGGGTGGGTGCAGAGGCCTGCCTGGGGTTGGTGTCTGCCTGTCAGCAAACTAGAGGGCATAGCAACAGGGTTGGGACCCTTGGAGAAGTCTCAGGAGGCGGAGTTCAGTCTCACATGCAATCTGATGGAATATCTCTTCAGAGGTACACATCACCAGCATTGAATGATGGTTACGTGGCAGAGTTCTATGGGGCAACGGCTTCCTGGGGCAGGAGAAACTCCTGGGTGGAGGAACTCCTCTCCACTCGAGGAACCATCCAGGGTTGGACACTACGCTGTGCATGAACCCTGAGCTAGGGTCTCCCCCCCCAACTTCTCTACCATCCTCTGAATCTTATTCTTCCGAAATGACTAATTCTAACAGTAAGCTCAGCTTCGGCAATGGGGAAACCCACCTCAGTAAGATCATTCCTACGTCTCATGAGGCGCTGCAGTGCTGACATATGGAGTCTAGACCAGGCAGCTATCCACATGCCTCACGGGCTCCAGCTGGTCTCCAGCCCTCCCATGCCTCAGTTTCCCCATGTGTCCCATGAGCCAGGTGAGGTCTGGAGACCCTAGGTCTGTGGGGCCTAGGGACCGTCTACAGAAGGCAGCTGATGCGTGGGGCTGGAGCGCGTTACCTGCTGGGGTGGGGGAAATGCAGCAGCCTCTCGCAGGCGAGGGGGTGGCCTCGGGGTGGCGGGCTTCCTGTAGGCAGGAACAGGCCCTGGCGGCAGGTGGGGCCGGGTCCCTCGGCAAGGTCCAGATCCAGCAGACTCTTCTCCGAGCCTGGAGTGCAGTGGCCGTAGCTCCCGTTTACTATGCAGAGAGGGACAAGAGGAGACAAAGTGAGTGGGGACGGGCTGTAGAAGGTGTGGGTACAGGGCAGTCACTGGGGCACACATGGCACAGAGCCCCTTGAGCAATACAGCCCGAGTCTCTGCTGTACCAGGCACTGGAGACACCTATTAATTCCCATAATCACCAACAAGGTCTGTAATAAAATCCCCAGTTCTCAGATGCAGATGCTGAGCTCCAGTGGGTAGCTGTTCATCTTCATACAAACACAGAACACTTACAACGTACCAGATACTATTCCGGCGCGGGAAACATGGTGCATGCTAGACACATGCATTCCTGCCTCTTAGAGTTGACAATTTAGGATTCTGGCACTTATTTGACAACATGCATGGCCACAGCAGGGGCTGGGTGCCCGATGGGTGTGTGTCACTGACATTTATAGGTCAAAGAGGAAGTGCTCACTAAGCAGCATGTGTTCTTGTTATCACCAAAGCTCAATGCACGTTGTTCTCCAAATTGCGTTACGTGTTCTTGTTATCACCAAAGCTCAAAGCGCATTGTTCTCCAAATTGCGTTACTCCACAGAGGCAGAGGACACAGTTATTCACGCCTCCCTATCTCCATGGTTCTTGGAAGGGCTGTCACAGGCCCTGCTGTGCCCAACTCCTGGATTTTTAAGGAGACAAACTGAGGTAGATACGCCTCAATTAGTCTTGAAATCTATGTGCATGCTCAGTCGTGTTCAACTGTTTACAGTCCCATGGACTGTAGTCTGCCAGGCTATTCTGTCTATGGGATTCCCCAGGCAAGATTACTGGAGTGGGTTGCCATTTCCTACTCCAGGGGATCATCCTGATCCAGAGACTGAACCTGCATCTTCTGCGGCTTCTGCACTGGCAGGTGGATTCTTTACCTCTTTGCCATCTGGGAAGCCCCTTGAAATCTACAGAAAGCCCTTAAAAACTATATAAAAGTATAAACAAATGTTAGGCACGGTTGCTACATGTTCACTGCCCCCTCTGCATCTCAGTTTCCTCATTTACAGTGTAATGAGGGTTAATCCAAAGCCTGTCTTCCTGAACTTTCCACCCAGTCATTTGCCAGGGTTATGCTAACGAGGAAAGGGTATGGGCTTCAGGGCCTGGTGAGCCCCATGTGAGCCCCTCCTGCCCCCAACCAAGCCTGTGACTCAGACAAGTCCTTCCCCAAGGCTGAGTCCCCCCGTACAAAATGGGACAGCCATGCAAGTTCTCCAGATATGTTGTCAGGTGTTGAGAGCTGAGGTGCAGAGCCCCCAGGCAAGCGTGGGTGCCTAGTAAGTGGGATACCAGGAGTGGAAAGTGCTCTTAACATCAAACAGCATTCCGAAAAGTACAGTCTGATGGAAGTGATAAAACATTACTAACAGGCCCAAGGGGGCTTTCCGATGGCTCAGGGGTAAAGAATCCTCCTGCGATGCAGGAGATGTGGGTTCGATTCGTAGGTTGGAAAGATCCTCTGGAGAAGGAAATGGCAACCCACTCCAGCATTCTTGACTGGGAAATTCCATGGACAAAGGAGACTGGAGGGCTACAATCCATGGGGGCACAAAAGAGTCAGACATGACTTAGTGACTAAACAACAGGCCCAAGGACTGTCTGGGGACTGTCAACATTGAGCAAGATAAACCAGTAAGATGGGAAAAGAGCTGATATCAGTGTACAATTAGCCCGGAAGTGTAAGGACAAGGACAAGAGAAGTGCCCTTTGCTGAGCAGTATGCACAGGTCCTCACTCCCCTGCCTCATCGGGGCCTCCTGCTGCCCTGGCAAGGACAGATCAGGGTTATACCCATTGTACAGAGGAGAAAGCAGAGGCTCAGGAAGGCTAAACTGCTCACTTTATCACACAGCTAGTAACAGTCTGGGTCATGCCCATCAGACCCAAACCCCATGTTTTAATCCCTGTGTAACAAAAAGTGGCCTCTCAGAGTGACAAAGTCCAACCTTATTCTCATGGATCCAGCTCCCCCAAGCCTAATTCTACCCTGCCCGCCACCACGGCGGCCCTTTCACAGGAGGCCAGATCCTCAGTGCTAATTCGCCATGTGCCCAAAGCCCCAGCAGACACAGGAATTCACCCTTCAAGCTCTTTACAGTTTGCAGGTGAGAATGCAATGCTCTCAAGGTCCCAGGGCAGCTGACGCATCTCCAGACAAGCATGTCCTCAGAAGTGGCCCTCTGGTCACTTTCTCAGGCCAAGCACTGGCCAACGTCCTGCTGTGAGGAAACCTCACTTCCGCCAGCTTTGGCTGCTGCTTGGCCAGCCCCTCACAAGCTTATTTTTTAATAAATTGGCCGTTTTTTAATTAAAAAGAAATCCCTGGTAACAAATGTGAACAGCCTGAGTTAATGAGAGCAGGCTGCCACTCATTTAACTCTGTCTCTGCTTGGCGGTCTCTGCCTTTCCCACATCATTTCTGCTTGTGATTTTATTGTCCCATTGAGGCAAACCCTGGGACTGAGCCTCAGAAAACTGTGGATAATTTTATGACCATTAATAGCATTTGGCACAAAGACAGCTTCATCATCACGTGGGGCTGTTCTGCCAGGGTCTTTCTTCCAGAGCCTTTGAGTCAAGGATGTGGTTCTGAGGTTCTTTACCCAACAGGCCCGTTGGGTAACCTACCCGCTCTGAGTTACCTGCTCCTTCTTCCCACAGGAAGATATGTGGAGAGATGGAAGGTAGGGCCCCGGAAGGTGCCCAGCAGCCCAGCATGTATCAAGTCCTATTCACCAAGCCTTCCCACTTGATTACCAGGAACGTTTGATTCTTTGAAGCATTCATCCCTGTAAGGTGGACTCATTAAAGCTATTTTCCAGATGAGAAAAGTTGAGATTTGGAGATTAGGTGCCTTCCCCTAGGCGCGGGGGTCTGTAACAGGTAGGGTCACAACACAAACCCAGACCCCTCAGACTTCAAAGCTCAGGTCCCGTCCTGGTGCCTCTCCGTCAACTGATCATAACCGTGGACTCCGAAGCAAGCATCCCACCTTTGACTCCAATAAGAGCATCTTGCGGAGCCTCTGGGGAAGTCAAAGTACACTCCTTACAATGACTCCTAAACTCCAACCTTTGCAACAACTCTGCCAGGTGGTAAGACCACTCCATCTGAGACAAAGACTCAGAGAAGTTTAGTGGGTTACCAAGGTCACACAGGGAGTAAGGGGCTCAGTTGAGATATAAACCCATCACATCTTGGGGGAAGAAACAGTCATTACTAGACCAACAGTTGGGGACTACTGGCTTCTTCTCCACTGGACACAGTAAGAAGCTTTCCTACACTAAACAAAGGGAAGGAGAGAGGAAGGAGCCCCTTGGTCACAGTTTGGCACTACTCGGGGCTCCAAGTCCATTCAAGCCCTGGTCTTCCGTGACCCTCACAGCACCCTGATGAAAGCACTGGCCTCTCCACCTCTCAGAGGGGCAGAAGCACCAGAGCTGGCAAGTGGCCACCCGAGGTCACATGGCAACTGCTGAGTCCAAACCCAGGTCTCTCCAAACCCATGCCAGACCCTGTACCAGGTCACATGCATTCTCAAAATCTAGAAATTAAAGCAGAGGCTGTGTCCCAGAGACGCCGCCACTGCTGGAAAGATGTGGTTACTGTCATTCTGCAACCCTGGGCCCTCCCACCGCCTTTATGCCTGTTGGCATTTAGCCTCTCTGTCCCCAAAGGCATCACAGGGCCTACTCTGGCTTACTGTCTGTCTCCAGGAAGCAGGGGTGGCGTCCTTCTCTGGGAAGGCAGGGATATGAGAGGGACACATCAGCCCCGCCGCCCTGAGGCAGCTGTGGGTACCCTGAAAAGGGACTGGCACCCAGAAGCTATGCCTCCCTCTGTGCCATAGAGAGCCAAAAGCAGACCTCGGACTTGGCTCTCCCCACACAACTGAAGCTTCTTGGGAGGCTTGGAGGGTGAGAGGATCCTCTTTATTTTTGCAAATTGATGAGAAAAGCCAGAATGTCAGGCCCTGGACTGAGTAACCATCTATTTTACTAATAGATAAAGAAACTGAGGCTCAGAGAGGGTCAGGACCGGCTTTAGTCACATAGAAAATCCATAGAAGAACCTGGACTGGCACACCCCTGGCTAGGTTTAAGAGTTTGGTTTGGTTTCCTCTGCAAGTCTCAGTTTTCTCATCTGTAAAATGGTGCTGACACCTACCTCACAAGATTGTGGGGACAATTAAGCGAGATCATGAACACAATGCACTTGCCATGGTGCCTAACTCACATTAAGCACTTGAAAAGCAATAGTGATGATAATAATAACTACTTCTTCCATTTATCCCTGAGTCTAGTTCAGGGCTGGAGGCAGGGCCCTGTATGAGAAGTATGACCCCGGGATGGTCAGGTCTAGATGACCCTGAGACCAGGCTCAGAAGGACAAACCCCCAAAGCTAAGGTATCACCAAATGCAGGACTGGGCAGCCTGAATGAGGTCACAACCAGCAAATCCAAAGAAAGTGGCTCTAGTTACACACCACAGCATTTTGCAAATTACCGTAATGACTTGGCTATAAAGTGGTACCATATATAAGGTGACTCCCCACAGGAATTTTAATTTACACTGAAAACTGCCAAGTCTGCATGCGAAGGACAATGATGCATTCAGCATCTCAGGCCCAGATGCCACCTCCTTGTCCCAGGAACAGCCAGTGGCTGGGTCTAGGAAGGCCTACATGATGACTGCTCCTTGTTAACGGATAAGCAGACTTTTAGTGCTCACCAGGTGCCTGGTTAGTGATAGGGTACTGCAATTTACAGTCCATAAAACACTTCACAGCCATCCCCTATGAGCTTTGCTACAACCCTCAGAAGCTGGCCAGGGAGGTTCCGAGGGGGCAAACGATTCGCCCAAGCTCACTCAGCAAATGCAGGGCTCAGATAGCAAACTTTCTCTGTATAGGCAAGACAGTACGTATTTTAAGCTCTACAGGTCATACATTTTCTGCCACAGCTACTTGAATCTGTTTTA